TGGGTCCGAATGTCCAGATGTCTCTGATAGCACACGAGCCTAATCTTCAAAGTCCTATTGATTTTTTTCGGCGAGGTGAACTGTCAGAAAAGAATAGCCTAATGGTAGTCAATCAAGTCTTAATGAAGTAGCGCGCCCAAAATCAAAATCATGCTATACCCTGCTGTTACAGTGATCAACTTGATCCGCTATCAAGTGGTTGGCAGAAGCGCTCGTGACGTCAACCGGCCCAATGGCGCAGAGTAGGTGCTCTTATGTTTGCGCCCGACCTACGATCCTGAGGGGTTCGGATCAGCTGTCGTGTACAGCGCTTGCAAAGGCTGAAACACCATCGCTGGCGAGCAAATTGCACTTCTCTGTGCTATTTGGGCCGGTTCTTAAAATTAATTTCCACCAATTCACAAAACGTAGGGAGCTGGGGGGCAAATGAAGTTAGTGGTTTCGAACAAACAAAAAGTGAGTTACAAGCGTTTGAAGTAGTTCAAGTTCGATGGGCTAATGGACAGGGATCGATAGCGAGGAATCAATTGGCTGAACGTCCAGTTAGAAAGCGATTCAGCCAACTTTATTTTGTATAATAACAAAGAAACAATAACTTTCTAACCGTGATCGTTTCAGGCCATATCATTGATGATCAACTATGCAATCGTAAAATGAACATTCATTGAAACTTAATTGAAAGCATTCACCTGTGTCACCTGTACTCCCGCTGATCGTCGAGTTTCTCGAGCGAGCGCCAGTAAGTCTCCATTCGTCCCTGTCACGAGCCAGAGTAGTCCAGTGAATCGGGAAAAACATTTCTTTCGTTAAGAGCTTTCGTGAAGGAGTCTGACCATCTCGTTGATGGCCTTCCTGGAGTTCGTTTGATGTCCCGAGGGATCCAGTCAGTAAACCTCCTGGTCCAACGGTCATCACTATATCGGATAACGTGTCCGGCCCACGTGATTTTCGACTTCCTGGCGTAATCAACGGCATCCCTGATCTTCGTTCGATGACGGAGTTCAAAACTCCGGATTCCCTTCTGCACATGCGGGTAAGGGAAATTCCGAGCATTGTCCTTTCCACGCGCGTTGAATGACGCTAACTGCATGCTCATCCTGCTTTCGTCGAGTTCAAGTCTCTGAGGCGTATGAGAAACGGGAAGGATCGCAGTATCGAAAAAGTGAGCGCGGAGCCAGATGTTCCTCGTTTTCTCGTTTTCTTCACTACTCCCTCGATGTTCTTAAATGCTCCCAACGCCGCGCGTTCCCGTCTGCTCAGCTCTGAAGCGAGATCGTTTATCACGTTGACTTCTCGGCCTAGATACATATAGCTTGAGCATTCGAGATATTCGTTCCGTTCAGCGTGAAAGGAGCGTCGGGTTCCGATCTGTTTCGCATGAACATCGTCTTTGTTAGGTTCAGTCTCGAGCCGATCTTTCCACAAGCACTGTCAAACTCGTCCAGCAATCGTTCCGTCTGCTCGATGTTCGGTGTTATAAGCACGAAGTCATCTGCAAAGCGACGATGATGTAAGTAGGGGCCGTCGACCTCCAATCCCATGCTTTCCTATTCCATATGACGCTCCATATGAGATTCTCGAGAGCAGCACTGAAAGTTTGGGCGAGATGGCATCGCCCTCTCTAACCCCTCTATTCACGTTGATAATGACTTCTTCATAGAACGGCGGGATCCTGGTGGTGGAGTTGTTGTAGGGCTCATCAAGCATCTATACAGTTTGAGCAGGAACACCCTGGTTGCCCAGGGCTCCAATTACCCCTTCTGTCTCGACGGTATCGAAGGCTTACTCCAAATCAGTGAACGTAAGACATAACGGCATTTTGTACTCCCGCGATACTTTAATGCGTCTTGTCACGGTGTGGATGTGATCGATTGCACTGAACCCTCTCCGAAACGCTGCTTGCTCGCATGGCTGTCCTGCATCTGATTTTCTGCCAATCCTGCTAAGGACGCCGAGTGTGAAGAGTTAATAGATTTCAGACAGCAGACAAATTAGGCAATAGTAAGGGCCAATATAGTTTGGATCTCCGTTATTACACAGCAACACGGTCTTGCTAGTTTTCCTCGAAATGGGCAAATTGCAATCCGACAGTTTTCCTCGAAATGGGCAAATTGCAATCCGACAGGTACCACGTGAAAAGCCGGGCCAGGGTTTGCAATGACTGGCGGGAGGCTTTTTAAATGTTTTGCTTTGTTCCTGTCGGGTTTGGGTGCCGTACAATTCCTCGTCGACGTGATGGCATGTGGAATTTCAGAAGGGAGAGCTGAAGCAGACGGCATATCCTTATTGCCTAAGATGGTACGTAGGCAGGTGGACGTGGCTGTCGGAGAGATCACAGTAGAAATCGTAGATGATCTTCTCCAATGCCCTTCGGGATGCAGTAACATCCCTCAAGACGACGAAGGGAAGTTATTTTGATCTTATAATTGAAAACGCTCCGGCAGAATGCACTTCCCAGCCTCAGCGGCTCCACGCGATTCTCGAGAGTCTTCGAAGAGAGACGTTTCTTGACATCTTCAAGACTCTCAGCTTTCCTGGCCCTATCGTGAAGATGTTCGACGAGTTGGTCGTATTTTCATCGATGTGGAGGGTTTACGGTGATGCTTATCCGCAGGCAACGCCTCGGATACTCGAAAGGTCATTCTTCCAATTCTTCCATTTTCCTGAAAATGAAGCTGCGAAATTGAAGAAAATCGAAAAGTTATTGTAAGGTAACATTCTCCATAAGCACGGCCATTCATCGGTACTCCTTTTGAATAGATGACTAGAACAAAGTGACAATTGTCTTGAAAACTCGTCAATCGAACTAATGATTCCAGCTGAAAGTGCCAAATTATGTCAGGAGGGAAATCAAAGTGATCGGGACTTCATACTCTCCTCAAGTATAGCGCTATTTATGAATTTCAGAAGCTGGGCACGGAATTTCCAATGGTAGTAAAGGGTTTATGATGCTGACGTTTCCGCAAGTAGCACCTAGGATGCTGAGAGACTCACTTTTCATTTTCCGTGGAAATGAAGGCAAAAAATTGAGAAAAACGAAAATTAGTTT